CAGAACATACTATAGAAACATCCATGATGGCGAGGGTGGTGGTGGCCGGGGTAGGGAGAAAGGTGGTGGTATTGGGGGAGCCTCCTGAGACTCATACTGGTGGAAGCAGGTGCTCTCTAAAGGTGGGGGTCGCAAAATTTTTGAAAAAGTGCGAACGTCGCGGTTGACCCTGCTATGAAGTAGACTCACGTCTATCAATTAACATTTCTTGATCAGTTTGCAATGAGGGCAATCCATACTCTGAAGTACCCTGTCCATCATGAACAGCTTGTGTTTCAGCTTTTGCTCGGAGGGTCGCGCTTCGCTCGGACATCGCTCGAATGATGAATTACTGTAGTCGTGCGAGCGCGTGCCGCGTTTTTCCCACTCAGCGCCTTCGCGGCTCGTCAGCTGTCACCGGCTACCGTATCCGCGAAGCAATGCGACGACGACAAACGCGTTGCTCGGAACACGGCTTCGATTCCCACTTCGCCTTTTGGGTTGGCTTTCAGTCCATACTGAGGTTTCGTCAAAGGCATTCGACGCTCCTGGTCATTGTGGTTTCTGCCCGTCGTAATCGACCCTGCTCCTAAAAGCAGGCGATCTATCCAGCACTTCTTCAGTCCATTATCTGAATATTCCTTCTGTTCTGATCTGTTCTGTTTATCCTATTGCTGACTGATCGGAATTCTTGGAATCTTGAATCGATAGCCGAGATCTCGGAGGCGCTTATCCTTATCCACAACATTAAACCATAGAAAAGGTCGAAAGTTCGAGATTTCCATTGGATTCAAGCCGAGCTGAAAGCTTTTTTTACTGATTGATCCTTTTTGAACGATTCTCGTTGAAGATCAAATTGTATTATTTCAGTACTTCGAAACGCTTCTTTCCCTTCCTGCCACACATTCCTGATGCTTCTACAAGACTTCTTTCTTCCCACCTTTTACCGTCCTTCTCTGTTCCTCCTGGTGCACCTGTCTTTATTTTATGCCACAATACCGAATTTACTGGATATTGCTATACGAATATGTATATTCTGTTGTTGCATTAGGCCTAAGTGCTGATTTGGCCGCAGTTCGCCATACAAAAGTGATCACAAGAATGGTAGGTATGGGCAAATTATACGCCACAAACCGATATCGAACCCTCACCTCTTGCTCTCCTTTTAGCTGTGCTACCGGCGATGTGGAGTGGTCTGTTGTTGTCTCTACATATAAGAATAAAACAGAATCTCTTGGAAGGTAAACCGATAAAACTTATATGGCTGTTAGGGAGATAACCTATAGCCTTATCGTGCATCAATCTCTCAATATGGATAACACAAAAGTGTTCGTCTATATTTGTCGAAACCTGATATTTTATCGGCTAACGAAATTTTAAATGGGATATCACTTATGTTATCGGAACTTGCTGGGGCTTTGGTCACCTTTTGGAGGTGATTCAGCCACGCGGTTTACTTAATAACTTGAAATCCTGAACGAATTCCGACTTGAGCCGACTTGATTGGCTCAGTAAAAGACAAGATAAGTGAAAATTCACACTAGAACCGAACCTGAGTGACGATTTGAGTGCTCCAAGACTAACTGGAGACAGCGCTGCAACTGAAGGCCTTAAAACAGATTCATTTGAATTTCATGTGCGTGGACCTGGATTGTTCCTAGATGATTCAACTGAGCTCCGTTAAGAAACAAGATTACTTGAATGTTTACTTTGAATATTGTGAACGCCAACGAATAAGTGAGAAGATAGGGGCTTGAGCCCAGCCGCTGCCTGAGACGATAAATGAGGCGGTATCGATCCAGTGCACTTGAAATTGCCCTTTAATAGCTGCCTCGATCCCGCCAGATCTCGTGTAGATCAAGAGCTTAGAATCGAATCTCCATCGGTCAAAGACTAAACGACTGAATTATTAAAACAAAAGAAGATAGCATTTACATAAAGATAAACAAACACGAAGAAGAAAAAACAAGGTCGTATTCGGGACGTATGTGGTTCTAATAGCTCATTGATCTATCTAGTCTTCTACTAGAAATAGTACTCGAAACGTGACGCGTTTGCTCAGTCTCATGAAGTTCTGCTCTATCATCTATCATCCAAGCTTTACGATGACTGCTTGCCGTTGTCACAGCTCGAGCGCCTTATCCAGCCTTGGATCATCCACATCCACAGCACAGGAGCGGAGGGCAATCCTGGCTCTGCATTAATCTTGTCACTTTTTGCCTGAATGTCAATCGGCTGTGTTGATCGCTGTTGTTTATCCAACGCAAAGAGTCAGCTTACAGCCAGTATTAATCTTGGCCGAGGCTTTGTAATACTCACCTTCTTCTATTGAACTCAACATGAGATTGTTAGATAACGTTATCAGCTTTTTACGGCCGGATCGCCTTCGTCAGAGCCTGAAAAGTCGTGTCAGTTCATAACAATCTGACCAAACGTCGCTGCTACCCTACAGGAGTTCAAAATGGAGCAGGACATTAGGCAGCCACAAGATGAACCACTCACGCTGGTCTAAGGATCCCGACTGAGTTACTGTGGGTGGCTCATCTTATGGATGCCTGATGTACTGCTCCCTTTCAACTTCTGTGAGGATAACGGCAATGTTTGGCCGGATCGTCATGAATTGACTCGACTTTTCAGGCGCTGACGAAGGGATCCCACCAAAACGTTGGTCGACCAAGTTTCCTAACAACCTCGTGTTGAGTTCGGTAGAAGAAAGTGAGAACTATATAAGGTCGAAGCTTACACAGAGCCGTACACGGCAGCTTTGTAACACATTTTTTTCTGATTTCACCATTTTCAGTTGAATTTCGGGTCTTCAACGATTTGCTTCTTCACTTGTTGCTCAGTATCGCGATCCATCGTCAACGCTATGATTCTGTGACGTCTGAAATGCGATTCTGGAACACACTTCTGCTTTGTTTTCTGTCCGTCCAATACTGTACCAGCATACACTGGCTGTGAGTCAAAGAGGATAAGGATAAAACTTTGGCAATGATCGATACGTTTTAGGATGCCCCTACATTCATTTAGAGCCTTAGTATGTCTTGTCTAAACAGTGACTTGCAGAGGCCAGCTGAGCACAAGTCATTTTCTGATTCGGCGCTCATATCCTTGGGGGGGGGGCATCCAAGTATCCAAGTGAGTGAGCAATTACTGTGCTTGGGACTAAGCCCTAGGGAGGGGAAGGGATCCTGGGGGAGCATGTGAGCAATTTCGTTCTCCCTGGCGTTTCTTCCCTTGCTAGGCTTAGTCCTAGTCTCACCTACCATGGGCCCTGTTTTGAATCGAATGTCCCTCCCCCTCCCTCCAAGGACATTAGCGCCTTTGATTCTCTCTGAATTAACAAAATATCGATGGTTGATATCGATTAACTGGCCTTGGAGAGATGAAGGATTTAGCTCATATGGTGAAGGAGGGCTCAATTTGGGATTTGACCTGAGCCTTGTGTGGTTATGTGGCCCAGGCCTGCTACCACAGCACTACCACAGCGGCCACGTTCGCCTTTACCACAGGGTCAACCGTCCGTTGGACAAAGTCCAACGAGGGGGTGGGGGTGGTCGTATTTGGGGGGTGGAAAAGGGGGGGTCGTATTTCGCGAGGTAGCGTCAATGTTACAGTAAGGGAAGGGATGTTTTTTGCCCCTCTGGAGGGCCTCGATACGACCCCCCAGGGCCAACTCCTCACGACCATCCTCCACCACCCTCGCCTGCCGGGGGCGATTCTATAGTATTTGATTCTGAGATCAGTCGACACAGCCCAACTCCGCCCACTTTTCCTTCCAAAATTACCGTCGAGCGGGGGGGGGGGGTCGTAAAATTTTCGAAATTGGTCCAACGTGACGGTTGACCTTGCTCTACCATCGTAAACACGGCCATTATTCATCTTTTATTCGGCGGGTAGATTATTTCTCATTTGATATAGAAGACTTTCCCCAAAAAAATTAAAGCCGATGTATTTATATATTCAATTCTTGGCCAACCGCTGCCAGAAGCTGCTCCCCCCCCTTCCTCCCAAAGCATTTTCAGCATTTTCGGTACCTCCCCACCTATCGATTCTAATCCTAACACTCTTCCACCTTTTTTTCAATACTTGCTAAGTTCTTAGAGCTTCGTACTTTTAGGGCTCTCGGGCTTGCGGGCAACCGCCTTGACCGATCCAGAATCGCCTACTCATGCAAGAATATGAAAGGATTGACGAAAAAACAAATAAGGTAAGTTTTTCGACAATTGTTTCTACCGTTCAAGCTTCCTTTACCTTCAGAACACCTAAAAATAGATTTTTTTCAGAAAGCATGTTTTTGTTTCTATTTCCAGGTTCTGTCGAAAAAATCCAGACATGATGGATTCGGTTCGATACGGCGCCCAAAATGCTTACGCCGAATGCCAGTACCAGTTCAACAAGAGAAGGTAAATGATTCTTCACCGACTGGATCTGGGTGACTGAGCCTCTCAGTACGAATACTGGACTCTTAGCGTGAACTAGTACCCTCATCGATCAACGACCTTGGAATTAATAAGCGATGTGATGCTGCGCGATGGCACCCGAGAATCAGCCTTTGTCCACGCTGTTTCAGCGGCAGGGGTAGCGTATCGGTGAGTAGCACCCCAAATTTTCCCACAAGATGTGAGAGGTTGGAATGCAGGGTGACGCAGGGACTGTGCCCGAGGGCTGAACGAGCGATGCGGATGCGATCAATCGATGCTGAACATCGATCCACAGGTGAGCAGCACTTAATCATCATCGTCTAGCACAGGCGCCACGACGAGCGGCGATCTGGCTTATTCAGGTCCGCACCTACGACTATCAGGGATGCTCAGACAATGTGCAGTACGGTATCGCTATTTCGCGAGAATTTGTCGACGCTGCCGAACGAGGAAAAAATGCCACACAGAGGGCTATTTTGAATCGCCAACAATATGAGCAGCGAACAGGGTGAGCTATGAGAATTTGGTATTTCTTCAACTTCTGGTCTGGAACAATGAACCATAGCAGGCATGCAACAGCATTGTAATTTTCCGGCACTATTTACCCTTTACTGCCCCACTCCTCGAGAACTGAGCCGGATTTTTATCGAAATTGGTCATTGACTGTGAATTTGGCCAGAAACTTGTCTTCGGGGGTAATTCGACCCGTAGAACACGAATATCACATTTGTTTACCGCTAGAACGCCTGGCGCTCGCGTCAGAAGCGCCGGCGCCAAAAGGCGCCAGAACATCTCGGATCCCCAAATTCGCTGGAAAGTTGTCCTCAGAGGTATTTTGACCCGTAGAATATGATTATCACATCAGTTTGTTACGAGTGAACCTGTAGCCTGCGCTACGAGCGCCCGCGCAAAACTGTTGTGATAGCGCCGGCGCCTGTGGCGCGGGCGCCAAGCGTTTTCGCTCTAAACCGGTATTATATTCGTGATCTACGGGTCAAATTACCCCTGAGGCAAGTTTCTAGCAAAATCCACAGTCATCATGGACGAATTTCGATCAAAATCCGGCTCAGTTCTTGAGGAGTGGGGCAGTAAAGGGTAAATAGTGCCAAATAATTTTAGCGAAAAGCAGCAACAGCATAAAGCTTCTTCGCAATTTGATTCTACAGCGGCTTGGAGTTAACAGTCATAAAAAGTCCCAATAACTTCTCTCGAATTAAAGCGATTTCTGTCTCCAGCACTACAATTTTGCGCAGCATTAGTGATCACGTCATCATGGAGCCGTATAAAGCAAAAAGTAAAATTTCAAATCATGAAGATTAAATCGACTAAAGAGGACATTCCTTTACCATACGGTAACCCACTACTCACAACCACAACGTCTCGTGTCATCCTACTTTTGAAAAAGACGCTGGAGGCTCAGACAAGCCACATAGCTGATTGCGTATGATATCTGCGATCTCGTTCACTTCTATATGCTTTCTTTTCTCGCTGCAAGTCCTTCCTCTCTCCTTAGCATGTAAACACTCTTTCTTCCCAAACGCAAAAAATTTATCTTACTCACCATTGCACTGTTTTTACGGCCCCCTTTTTCTCTCTCATTTTCTTGAGCATCAACAAACACCATCTTGTAGCTTTACTCGCAATTCTGGAGAGGATTAATTCAGATGATGAGTAAATTTTGCTCAGTTGCTGCCAAACTGTTATGGCGGTACAAGACTTCTGTCAACCAGGGGGTGAGAGTGTAGAAGGAAAAGCAGACGTTCTTTGTGGTAGTGGGACTAAGCCTTTCAAAGGAGGTAAAGAAAGCGGAGATTCTGTAATAGTGCGCTTGTGTGAGAGCTCCCAGACAGCACAACAAAACGCTGAATTGCCTATCAACGTTAGGCCGCACCGAGGATACCAGAGTCGATGTGCTGCTACTTCGCTCTTTGCAAATCAGAATCAGGATTTTTCCGTGAATCCTTCACGAAAAAATCTTGACTCTATTTCAGCTTAAATAACTGGCTTGAGACTCATCAGAAACAGAAAAATTGCATTTGTTTAGTAAAAAAATTCAAAAAACGAAAAGGGCTGCTACGCGTTCAAAGTACCGCCGGACATCTGTCACAAATGCTGGCGACGGGAATGCTTCCACTTGGTTCTCGGAGTGCCGTCACTAGAAACTCTTTCTGGCCTTTGACTTATTGCATTCACATCTCACACTTCTACTCCATCCCAGGGTGAATATCGCTTGAGGATTCCTCAACGGCACGTCGAGGATTCTCTGCCCGATCAGAGACGATCTCTCGCGCGGACATTCACACTCGCCATGCCGTGCCGTCTGTGCTCTCCGCGCGGATGTTCACTCTCGGCACTACTCTCGCATGGTAGAGAGCTATGGTCGAGGATTTCCTCGACCGTTATTCACCCTGCTCCATCCTACTCGAGCGATCGATTTGTCTCTACTCTCCAAAATCGCACGCTTCAATCCGATTCTTTCATTGCGTCGCCTGATACACAGCCGATTCAAGGCGGACTTCTTTCCATGTCCCGCCTTTGGCTCCGCCCCCTTTACCTTCGGTACCATAGAGGTGATCTTATAAGTGAGTTTCTACTTCGGAAACTGAAGTTTGTTGGTGAATTTTGTGTGCTGTTCCCAGTGATCACAACTGTTACTGCATGTTGAGAAAGAATGCAAGAATTTTCTGCGAAGGATTCCTTCAATTTGAGCAGTATACATGGCGCAGCAGCCTAGTTACTTGTTCTACCTTACGTCGGAAAGGAAACCTATAATTAGATTTCCTCACAAATCGCTGCTACTGCACAGTTGCATTATGGAAGTTCTACGCTGACGACAATTTTGGCCGGCCGCTACTTTTGAATGCTAGTCGTAGAATGTGATCATTACCTGGCTTTCAAATACGACGAGAAGCGTTCGATCAGATTAATGCATTTAAAGCAACAGTCCAGGGAGGGTTTCAACTAATCCAAAGCTGAGGTGTGGAAGCATGCCCCAGCCCAAGTGAAGTCGAAAGGAACTGTCACTGAAGTAAAAACTCACCTCTGAAATGCGTGAGAAGGGCTCGAAGTTCGTCGAAAAGGGCGGGTCAACCGAGCCTCGGTTGACCCGCCTCCTTGCTGCTGTGAAGAGCGCTTGCTCGAATAGCGGTCGTTGCGGGACCGCCGCGCTGTATCAGGTCGATTCCATGAGAGCGCAACTTAAGCGCTTCAATTTCGATTGCTGGCAAATAGTTATGTATTTGCAAGCATGCATGGCTATTTGCCAGCAGTTGCAATTGGAGCGCATGTACTACGGGCAGGTTCGGACAACTCGTCCAACACACGTCTCCCTAAACGGCAGGGGGAGTCCCTGTCTAAGCCCCTGCCCGACGTTTTTTTCTACTTTTTCTTTCTCCATTGACCAACTTCTCACCTGCAACGTCATTATAGGTGGTCCTTACCCGCGAATTCGTTCCTGGATTGTTGCTTTAAGCGACGATTCAAAGATCTTGGGACCCTCTCCCTCCAGAATGCGGGGTGAAGTCTAAAGTAACGAGAAATGCCCTGATTTCGTCTATTTCACGCACTGTCAAAATTGTAAGAGAAAAACCGGAAAACAAGACGACCTTCTTTCCCGGAACAACAATCCTTTCAACTTCAACAAATACCCTGTCCGTTCTTTCCGAAATGATACATAGTTAATTATGCTGAGCCACGGAAACGTTTTCTCGTTCGAATTGTCCGAACCGTATCCTGGTTTGATCCAGTTCGCGGCTAGAGAAAATGTGTAGTTCATAGTTCAGCATCCTTTGGACGACGATTTTAAATTTCTGGTCAAATCAGTGCGGAAAAAAGGTAGTGAAGTTTGAGGAGAATCTAAAATCTGTGGTGTTTGTCAGGGAAAACGAAAAAAAGGAAGAGAAAAGTCCTGCTCTTGAGAATGTTCAATCAGATATTGTTGCTATAGAACGATTTCCATTGTGTCCCTTTGCTGTTTGATGGATGACGTCTAACAGATGAAATTCAAAGTGAAATTGTAGTCACTGGATGAATGAGCTCTCAATCACCTCAAAGAAGATGATTTTTATCTCATTTCGGCGTTCTTTTGAATCTTGGGGAATTATACGAACATTCCAATCCATGTGCTTTTGCACGGGCAATAAAAAGTAACTAACTGCTTTGCTACCATCGGTTGACAAGAGCGGTCTTGAAATGAGGAAGATCTATGAGGTGAAGGCTAAAATATGTATTAGGTTGTTGCCATACAGATGTCGCAGAGATCCACTTTCACCCCACTGGGCAGCTTTTGAATTTTCGGAGATACTTTGAAAAAGGACATCTAAGAGCATAGAAGTGACTAGTCTCTTAGCCATATCATTTTCTTTCTTTTTACTTGAATTTTTCCTTTCAACGATGATTAAAGGCAAAGGTCGGGATTAGTTGACCAAACCAACCCTTTCGGTCATGCCTGTACTTGGTTACGCACCCGTAGAGATGTTCCCACACTCAAAACCCGAAACGGGCCCAGGGCATGTACTATGCGCTATCGCCGCCTGGCCCCGCTACGACCGCCCACCTTGGGATGTGGTGCATGGCTGGCATAACGTGTGAAATCAGCTAGGTTGATTGCCGTATCAACCGATAGAACGACTGACATCTCCAGAAAACTTGTTTGTACGTGCCTCTTCCCCAAGCCAGCCTCCTTCACTGCTAGTGGGAAAGAGGGTTTTGTTAACGGCCTTGTCGACGGTTTTTCTCAGTTTTTTCTCCACTGTCGTTCCACTTCGCATCTCTATACTCAGTTTCAATCGCCATAATACCCCCTTATTGAGCCCGACTTTTGCCTTTAACCGAAATTCCCGAGTACATTTCCAGTTACTGTAGGCTTTCGCAAAACAATAGGTCACTTACATGAGAGGGTGCACTGATTTGGCAAGAAATAATTTGGCGATTACACAACCACGAAGTGTAGCCACACGATGGCCAAGGTGCTTATCGCAGAAAAATCTCCCAGCCAAAAACTACAAGACCACAACGAAAACGTTTGACCTTTCCGCTACGCAACTCCACTCAGTCTCCATCTATGTAAGTGCTGCTTATCTAGACAACGTTGGTACGTTGTGAAAGAGGAACATTCCTGAGACAACGAAAAAATTTTAATTTATAATATGGGAGTCCAAGTCGCCTGCGCATAGTTGCTACATTTTTTCCGAGAAGAACTTCTAAACTCAACGTGAGGGATGGCGAACCCTCCTCTAACAAATATACATCTCTTTTTTTGGAGTGATATAACAAATTTTATGTCGTTGGGGGTAGGGGAAGGGATTGGGAAGATGTGAATCACTCATGTTCTCCCTAACGCTTTTCCCCTCTCCTGAGCTTAGTCCCAGTGTCATTTACTATGTCATTTGCTATACTGAATGCCCGGCCCCCCCCCCCCAACGATATAAGCGTTTCATATTTTAGGCCAAAGCATATATGTCGCGCGACAAGTTAATATTTGAGTGTTGCAACAGAACACAAAATACCACTG